TTGGAACACCAGCTATGTTGGGAATGGACTGGTTGTTGTCTACAGGAGGTAGTCTTGATTTCAGTAGACTTGAGTTATGTGTCAATGGCGAACGAATTAAGTGCACGAGTGCTGCTGGTGCGCCATTTGTCGGCAAAGTGGTAGTGACAAGGACTACGGAGATACCGGCTGGGCATGAGACCATTGTGCCCGGAACGGTTATTTGTCAGAATGAGGAGTTGACTGGAAGTATGATCATGGAACCAGTTGAGTCAGGTGGCCGAATTGCGGAAAAGGGCCTAGTAATGGCCAAGTCTGTGGTTGATGTGCCAGCCGAAGTGGTGCCCATTCGAGTATTGAACCCAAATAAGGAGAAACGTGTCCTGCGTGCGGGAACAATAGCTGCAACAATAACACCAGCGGAGGTGGAAACTCCGCCCACGGCAGGCAAGGTTGCAGGACACGAGGGGGCGCTACCCAACCATTTGACCGAATTATACGACCGAAGTCGAAGGAATTTGGCCCCACATGATTATGCAAAATTGAGAGGGTGTCTGATTGAGTATCAAGNTTGACAGACAGTTTTAGTCTTCCCCCACTTTGCAATACCAGCCCAGACATTTAGCTTGATTGGTTGTGTGGCTTTTGGTTTGAGTTTTTTTGGACATCCTTTCCTTTGAAATGTTAACTTGCTGTACCTGTCGAGCTGCACTTTACACTCATCTGTGAAAATAACGTTGAAGGTGTCACCACGACCTACAGTATCACGGCAGAAATCAAGGCATGCTTGCTTGTTGGGTCACATATCATTATTTGACAGTAGGCTGGTCCACTTGCCACCCAACCTAACTTTAAACGTATGCAGCGGATAGTTGATTCTGCAGCATAAGACGAAATATATTATGCAAAATAAGGCTAACAATATGCCAGGTTAGCTCGTCATCATTTTCATATGAATAATGAATCACCTCATTTGAGGATGCTGGAATTTTTAAGGATTCCCAAACACTGCTCTATTTGCGAAAAATCCTGTTGCTTTCAATTTCTTTAGAAATAGTCGTATCATTTATCACTAATTTTCCCTTATGGTATACATGTAAGTTATAAAATGTCCTTTATGTCGGTGAAAAACGTGAATTTTTTCAATCTAACCCTACGTTTTTGTGTGTCTCCGTGGATTCAACAGGTACTAAATGAAAACCTGAATTCTTAATTACACTTTAATTGATAGCAGCAACAGAGTGGAAATAAGTGTATCTTAACTGTCTTCATTTTTCTCTGGTTTTTCTAAAAGTCATGCATGTAAGTCACTGTTGGATTTACATTTGCTGAAAGTATTGAAGACCTTATGTTTTGTGGTAGTTTTTGCATAATTCATATGAAATGTGAAAATGTGAAGGTTTTTAATAAGAAAACTCTTTTGATTTTCCAGACCAGTCCTACACGTTTGTGCATCGCATGTCAAGTGATGTCCATATACATGTATGGAACTCTTTCCTTAAAAAAGTTTTTTTTCACTGTGATGTCACATACATGTATACAGTACCGCTCACATGTAGGTCCATTTCCTCGCGAGGAACGAGCGAGCACAAGCAAGGAAATTCTGTAATGGGTACAAGGCTCCTCACAAGCTAACAAGGGGCCTCGCAAGGGAAGCCCTCCACTCGTGAGTTTATAACAAGGGATCACGATCTAAACAAGGGACTCTCTCGTTCCCGGGTTGCATGCCGGAACACAGCGAGTACCCCTCACTTATAAAGCTGTTTGTAGTTGTACATGTGTACATGCTCTGTGGTTTGCCATAGAGGGTACATGTGAATACATACATGTAGGCCTATACTGTAAATCTGGACCACAGGAGCGCACGGTTGTTTGCCATATTTTGGTGCATAAAGCCCATTCTTGTGAGAGAAAAACCTCAGAGACCACCCCAAACAAGGCTGACGTACGTATAGTACTTGAAAAACTTTAAAGCTTTATACAATTGTGATTGAACTAATGTATGTACATGTGCAGTTCATCATGGTTGTGCATATTCATTACTCGCTACCTGTTGACGTGTGATGGGGATAGTGGCAATGATGGCGGCTCGTGATCCTAGTCATGCTAGTAGTATACCTAAATGTACCATTTTCTAACATATCGGAACTGCCTTGAAAGACATTTTTGGGGCATGGAGCTGCCAAGTTGTTTTTCGATCACAGAACCTTTGCAAGGCGGTGGATGGCTTCATTCACAGACTTTCAACAGGTTCAATGGACAATGGTCTGTTTTCATCATGTTCATAGCTACCAAGTCCATGTAACTCTCCCACCTTTTAGTTTTTGATCGTTGTGGAAAATGTGGAAAGATAAGCTTTTTCTAATGGACATGACGGAAACAATGACAAGTTTATTGACAAACATTCTGACTGTTAACATTTACACCTTGTATCACCATTAATCGTCATCATTTTGCCATTATTCATAATGTTTATTACCATCATCAGTTCAAAGGTAACTTCTCATACAATATTATATTAATCATCTCAATCATGTCAGTGAATGTCAGCCTTTACAAAAAAGCAGAGAAGACTAAGTTTGGTCAGCCAAACGTTTTCTAATTTTCTTGTGTATGTTTTTACTGGAAAATACCTTGATAAATGAAGAATGTTTCAGATTCTTGGTTTCCATGGACCGTGCATTTTGTACCAAACCGCTGAAAATGGTAAGTCGTAAAACTCAAGATTGTACAAATTTTTTAACTTATACTCCCTCAAAGAATATTTAAAAAAAGATACACAGTCAATTTAATTTTTTTCATTATTTTCTTATGAAAATGGCTTATATAATGTAATCCTTGGTTATGCTCACTGTTAGGCCAAGTATTTTGCTTTGCATCCTTGCCTGCGTCCTTTCATTGGGCCTTATTTCTTTTTTGAAAAAGTTTATTAAAACGAGGAAAGAAAAAACATGTTAGCATCACCACACTCCTTTTGGGGGTTGCCTCAATTTGTTTTAATGTTGAAATTTTTGAATAAGTCTTATTTTCATTGTGCTATGTATTCAGTTTTTCATACACACAAAGTAACACAGAATGAAAACTCAAGTTGTAGATTTAATTTGCAAACATTTTATACTTTTATTTTCAAACAAATTATGGTTTAAATATTTTTTTCTGTGCTACATACATGTACAGCCCCTAAAATATTAAAAAAGACTAAACACTTTTTTTTTCACCGTGCTTGATGTCTCTCATTTTAACAATGGAAAATCCACAGTGTGATTTTGTAAAAGTAATGCCGGCCATCTTGAAAAAAAAAGCCCCTCCTGCCCCCTTTTTTCATAAATCCAGACACTGAGCATGTTTCTTTGGTTTTTACTCTAATTTGCAAGCCAGAATTTTTTTGTACCCCCTCTTCACTGGATCTTTTTAAATGTCTCCTTTGGGCTTCCTGCACAGCCTTCTGCATCTTTCGTCAAGAGCAGTTACACACTTTTTGTTCCAATAAACCTCATACTCCTGCTTGGGTATCAAAACGTACTTCTCCACGATATCCTTGACAAATGTCAATCTAGGAGGATCTAACGCATCCTTCCCCCTGACCCCCCTACAGTTGGATCTCACCATCTCTGACTCAGTAAACAGTTTCCTTATCAAAATTAATGCACAATTAGGAATTGAGGATTGCTTGTTGAAGATTTACATGATTTTTTCTGGTGAAATTAATGACTCATCATTACCTGCCTGAATACCCTCAATGGTCGGTATAGTCTGGATTTGTACGTAGTCTGAACTCATACTCTGGATACTAGTAGTGCCACTACTTTTTTCCTTCAGGAGGAGCTGAAGAAGCCTGTTGTTTTCCTCTAGCAACTTCCTGTTGCCAAGGGCCAGTTTTGTTACCTCCTCCACAGTCTTCAAGCAGGGGCATGACTTACAATCAAGCTACATGCAAGTAAAAAACGTACAGGTCCTTGCAGGTTGGCGGGTTCCTGATGGTCTGTGGATTCCTGCGGGTCTGTGGGTTCCTGCTGGTCTGTGGTTCCGGGTGGTCTTGAGGTTCCTTGTGGTCTTGGGGTTCCACTTCCATGGGGATTTCCTCGTCTAGACTTGGTGCACCTAGATTCCATACCTGCTCCAATAAAATATTACAGGACTAAAGCATGTCACTTTGAAATGCATGTAACTAACTTGCAGTGGAGCCCCAGCATTAAATTGTTTTCTGTAGTGTAGCATATCCCACCAGTTATTCCCACTTTGAATAATCACATTTTACAGGTTGATGAAGAATTGTGGCCTGTGAACATGATCTTTATTTGAACGATTCCGTCCAAATGGTAAGTGGGGTATTTCTCTGCTACAAGTGAAATCTGTAGATGGGAAAGCCACAATATATAATATTTAATATATTTTAAGTACACCTGTAGGTGATTTACATGTAAAAAGCAACTGTAGAGTATTGTTTTGTCTGTTTCCTACATCCACACGAGAAATTTACAAACAAGTATGTAGAAAACGAAATAATGTAAATAAATTGTACGTGTCCTTGCTCTTTAAAGTAAATTATTCAAACCAACCATATTTGTTATGCTGCAGAGTGGTTTCAATGGTCCCGCCCCTCTGCAAACAACTCTTGCAGCCTGTGTTGGAAAGGGAAAATGAGTAATTACAACTCGAGTGCAAATACTTAGTTTGAGAGTGACCCCCCCAAAAAAAACCAAGTCAAACAGTGTGGAAAGAAACATGAAAACATTATTTTGTAAGATAGTTGCAAAGAGGCTTAATTTTGACTTCTGTGAATTGTTATTCATAAATTAAAATGACCTGCTTATATCATCTTACCTTTTTCTTCTTTGCCTTAGTTGCATTTTCTCCTGGACCACAACCTTCACAGCCTTTATTTTCTTTGCACGTGTAGTTTTCTGTGAAAAAGGGCAAGAGATATTCATTTCATTTTAAATAGAGTTCATTTTACACTTCAAAAAAAGAAAAAATAAGCCAAAATCAAATGAAGGCATTAAAATTTTCATCGGAATTTGGGTATTGGGTGCATATCGTCATCTGCACCACGAACTGACACACATCTTCACTTTTGTGCCAGTTTGTGAAAAGCGTGATTGGAGCAGTTTTGGTTTCAAGAAGTGACACAAATGTGTGCGCGCGCATACTGTACACTTGTGCAATTATCAAACAATCTAGTTTTCACAAAGAAGCACAAATGTGTGTTTTGTCAATATAGCATAAAAAAAGCTTAAAATGTCTAAAATGATTTTAGTTTACCCGTAAATGGGTGACTAAACTGAAAAAATTTTTTTTTCAACTCGTAACTGTGTAAATTAAAGAAAAACCTCAATTTCTGAATACGCCAAATCACGGAGCACGTGACACAAGACATTTGTGCCTCTTCATGAAAACGAAAATATCACATTTCTATAAAATATGCGTTGAAGTGCCCACACGTCCATAGACTTGTGTTATTTCGTGGTGTTGGTGACGATATACTCAAAATTCATGAACAGATCGAAGCTTGGTAGAACTTATGAGATGTTCCACCGGTGGGTTCTGGTTGATTCGGGATGGGTCTGATTTGGTATTTGGTTCAAGTTGACTCGAAACCATATTTATCATGGAAACTGCTCATTCACTATACTTAGTTATTACATGTAATATACATTTCATGTGATCCAAAGTATATCTTCAGCACAAAAAGGGATACATATGTTAACTTTAACCAACAATATGATCGACAGTCTTCCATTATACTTCAAATCAGCCCAAACTCCATTTTTCCATGGGTAATCAACTTCATTGTTACCAAATGAAAAGTATGTTGACATTTTGTATTCAATTTCAATTTATTAGGTGTTCATATTTACTTATTAAAACCTACCGCAGTTTCCTTGCTCTTAACACTCCCACACTGTCCAAAATCGTCATCATTCATATCAGTTTTTCTTCATCTGTTAAGCTGCAGCTTGCTTGGAGCTTTTTCATGAGTGTGTTCTTCGTTGACTGAAGTGGTGGATCCAATGGGCCTGACTTTTAACAAACATTTTGAACAGCAATTCTGTCACCAAGCAAAGGGATGAATGTCTTTGAAGTGTTGAAGTGTTTGAAGGCCTTGGTGGCCTCAGAATTTTCTTGTTCTTGCCTCCCCCCAAATATCTCAGCTACAACACTAAACTGTAAACCATAAATATACTTATATAGTAGATTAGGCAATCAAATTTAAACAATTCACAAGAGTAGGCTACAGGTAGCCGTGGTGTTGCTTCCCATTTTACAAGGAAGGCAAGTTCAGCACTCAAACTCTGGTTTTTCACTAGGCCATACCTGGAATTTGAGCATCTTTTATCATTTTCACCATCATAACATGCATCTTCTTGGTTTTGACACACTTAGAAGGGCCTGCTTTGTCTTCCTCAGCACTTGATCCTCCGTTTGGGCTGTCGGTGTCCTCGCCCCACAGCCTGAGCCATTGGCTCATAGCTTCCATTGGATCAACATATTCAGTTACACACATTAGTTCAAACCCTCAAATCACTTAAACCCCGGACCAGGTTTTTTCTTTTCTGAGTACCCAGACCTATTCTAATGCCCTTCTTTCCTCTGACCGTCTGATTCTTGTCATCCCTGAGTCTTCTCAGAAGGCTGAGGACATGGCTTTTTCAATTGCTGCTCCATGCCTGTGCAACAATTCATCCCACCACATTACAAACCCAGACAGTGTATCATCATTCAAATCTTATCTTCCCCAGATCATAGGTGATTGTTTACAGGTATGTGCATGTACCAGCCATCACCCTTCAATTCAATATTTCTTTGCACTTTTTTTCCTAGTGATGGCTCAAAGGATATTTCAACACTGACCAGGGAACCAAAGAGAAAGTTGTTTAGAAAATTGAGACTATGCGATTCAAGCTTTAATCACTATGGCCATGGGTTGGATAGGTCACACCTTGGCATTTCAGCTTTGAAGCTTGCTTGGCAATCAGATTCAAATGGTACATTGGGAATTACTTTCCATTGAGTTGCTTGGTTTATATTAAGGTGTATAAGTTATATGAAGTTATGTCATTAACAAAGCTGTGAGTATGATTAAAAGTTAAATTTTTTCAAATGAGACTACGTTGTTGATGTATGTAAAATGAGAATGCATCTGATCCTTGGAATGGCCTAACATCAGGGTGTCAGTGGGGTTCCAAACCCAGGCTGACGGTGAAGATGTATTCCATGCTGCAATTGTATAACTTGGGGGTGTTACAAATTGGCCACTAAAGTGGCCTGATGGAAGCAGTAGCATGATGCCAAACACCATCCTACTCTGCTGATGCTTTGCCAAAGACATTAAGCTACATCCACTTGATGACCCACAGTATACAGTGTAAGCCATGTCAGATTCTGGGATTTCTAGGATGTGAGCAACATGGTGACTAATGATGCATGTACATGCAAAACCAGTTCAGATGTCTCANTTATAAACCCAAGGAGCCTTCCTGCTACAGTGACCAATTTGGTGGGATTTCCAGGATGCTAGACACTGTCCCTATACTGTTGACAGGGATACGCCATGGACAGTTTGAATGGCCTTCATCAGTGATCCCCACGATGAGCAGACCTCTCACCAGAATGACCAAGTGGGTTGGATTTTCAGGATGTCAGGCATCATCTCTCAACCACAGATACTTTGCAGATGGCATCCACTTACAAATGTTTGTTTCAGCTCTGTAGCCAGGGTGACTGCATTGCTCTCTTACGTGGCCTTGCTGCTAAGACAAAGTCCACTAACCATTAGGGATGCCTAATGCTCCTCCGCATCATCAAAAGTTGATTGAGCTACAACTGCTCCAGCTGCCCTGACACTTTGACATCACATGAGCTGATCAGTGAAGCACAATACCACACTCCATGGAACCACATTGTAGGGCTGTTGAACAGCATGGAGAACATCCAAACAATGGACACTTTTCAGGGGTTAAAATGTTATTCAGAGGAGTGAAGGATGCTTTGGTAGAGAGCATTCAGTTAGCTATTTCTGAGTCACAGTTCAGCCTAAAATAACTTTAGCTGCATGAATTTGCTATCCTGAATGGAGTCCCCAGAGTTTATGGTCGAGAGCTGTTGAACAGTTAGTGTACAGTTAGTGTATAGTGTAAAAGCAGTCCAGTGCGAGAAAGGGGAAGGGCTGGAAAGCTCTGTACATTTCGCGGGGGGGGGGGCTTGCTTCTGGATGACACGATAACTTGCATTGAGTTTCAAAGCAGGAAATGTTTTCCGCGCTTGAGAGTACCCAAACAGTTTACAAACCAACAATTTGAATGTAAATTTTACCAGTGGTAAAAATGTTGTTACCTTTGTGTTTGGTATTGCCAGAGTAAGTTTTAAGGAAGAGAGACAGGAAATAGGGCCTGATTTCATGACCATTAACTGTGGAACTCTCCACTGACATTGTTAGCACAGCTAGAAATCATGCACTCTCTTCTGTCTGAATCAAATACTCAGTTGATGTATGCACTTATCAACCAAAATACTTACTGT